CCCCAAAACCCCAAAACCCCAAAACCCCAGCAGCCAAATTTTAAAAAGGAGATTAGTTATGAAATTAAGATTTTAAATCATTATAATTAAGAAAATATATTTTCATTGGTCTTTCTTCATAAGTTCTGCATACGACATAAAAGCTTGCTTCATTATCAAGATATATGGATCATTATATTCAAATTTGCCTTATCTCATATACGAGAGGCTTTCCCTTTCAATGATCCTGTCATTTTGTTTGTTTGGATCAAGGAAGTTTTCGATAGTTAATCTCTAATCATTTCCCTCAATTGGTGGCTAGTATCCAAACATCATATTATTCTCTAAGTATTCTGCTATTCTCAAAGCACAGTATCTTCTTTCTTCAAGCTCTAACTCACTCATTGCTCTACGTTTGTTTAGCAAATCCAGATTAACTGAGCGTTTAATGATTTGCTTCTTTTTCTTTCCAATTCCTTCGCCCTATGAGGTCTGATCCTCATTATTTCCATCCTTATTATTGGCACTGCTTTGCAGCATTTTATCATTGGACTTGATCTTGTTTTGAACCTTTTTCATTCTTTTCACAAGCTCTTGAACTAAATCATAGAATGTTTCAACCAAATTATCTTCATTCAGCTCCATGTTAGGATCATACAAGTACTTCTTCTTCCCTCGTCCCTTTTAATTTGAGAACAATTGATCTTCCAAAACCATTTGCTTGGGTGGATGAAGCCAATTCTGAAGCACATCCAGTAAATTCTTTTCGTTTTGTCTGAAAGCTCTTAATCTCATGGCTCTTTACTGGTCTAATGTTTACTGCACTTCAGCATCATTGTCATCTCTTATCAAATATTCAGGCTATGGTCCAAACTTCATCTTGTAATTCTTTTTAAAGTTTTCAAGTTGCTTCGTTATTTTCTAGTCGTCCTGCTAGAATATCCTCTTTAGGACTTCATTGACTGTGTCTAAGAACTCTTGCTTCATTTGCCCATCCTCATCATCAGAGTAAAAATCATCGTCGTCTTCATCAAGTAGATCTTTAAGAGCTCTCTAAATATTCTGAGCATTCTTGAACTGGTCTTGATTAGAAGGCCCTACCTTGCAAAACCTTGAAATCATATTTAACATTCTTATTTTCTTGAACAAGATCTCCTTGATATTCTTTCTACGAGCAGCTTTCGCATCATCTTTGACCTTATTCATCTGTTCTTCTACTAGTGATTGCAAGTCTGTAACTAGATTTATTTGGTATTTCTCTTGAAATAAAGCGATGATTTGCTTTTTGACTTCAATATCATGGCATTCATAGCGATCTAATAGCTCCTCTAATGAAAACAGGTCAGGTGTCTCCATCATCTCAAGATTTAAGGCTATACGAATAAGCAGTTCCTTTTTAAACTAAGAGATCTTCTTAGACATCATCTTCTCAGTAATCTTCTCTAGAATTCTTTGATATTGAAGCTCCTAATTTATCTTTGATATTTCCTCCTCATTAGTCATATTGTCCTCCTAATCAGAATCAAGAATGGACAATAAATCTCCTGCATTAGAGTGCATCTATTGCAGATTTGAATGAGATGGAATCAAATAATTTGAAGACTACTAAGATGACATCTCAATATTGTAGTCTTTGATTTTATTGTCCATCAGGAATATCTTCATTGGTGTTTTCATTTGATTCTTCTGCATCTGCTAAGATGACTGTTTGCTTATCATTGACTTTGGTGGTCTCAGATCATTAGGATCTTCTTCATAATACTCATCTTCATCGTCATCAAGATATTCCTCATCCTTTCTTTTCCTAATCTAAGTTATTCTGGCATCTTCACTGTAATCTTCATAGTCTGGCTCAAGATTATTTCTGCTTTGGCTCTTCCTCATCATCTTTTACTCTAGATAATATTTAAACAGCAAATCTTACTTCCTTTTGAATGAGTACTCATCTTCAAAGATACTACATTTAGAGTGGAATTTTTGCCACTTCGAATCGGGGAGAATGACCTTTCTTTAACCATTCTGAGTTAATCAGCAGTTTGCTTGCCTTCAATCTCAATTTAATTTATGATATGGTTGATCATTAAATCCGAATTCTTTCTAGAAGTTTTATAGCTATGCCTACTACTATTAAGTAGCTATCCTTTGTCATCTTGTATGAGAATTTAAGGATTATTATGGTTTTAAATGATACTTCTCACATGCTTGTTCCCTCTTGTGATCTTAACTCCAATTTTGGTTGGAGATCCACTTGATATCATGTCCTGGCTCTCTTCAGAACCTGATTCAGTCATTGAAATTCTATGACCACCCTAACTATTCTCATTGATAAATTTGCTCTTATTTTATCTCTTTGAGTTTAGAACTGAATAGTGATATTTACTTTAAGCGTTGTCATAGTTTTCCCGACCATAATTGATATCCTATGACAACTCAGACTAATTCTAAGTAGGGTATGTCTCTCTGAAATATTTCCCAAGCCTTCTGTTGATAATGAGTCCCCTGACTATGTTGTCTTTGATGTAGTTGTAAATCTACATTCTCTCAATTCTAAGCTTTTCCTGCTCCTTGTCGAACTTCATTTACTCCATTCTTCTCTTTATCTCTTCCTTCCTTTCAGCTATTTTGAGTTCAGTAGCATAAACCATTTATACCTCATGACCGCTTCCAGTTTGATTCTTCTAAGTGCTCAGTCCACCTCTGTTAGAAGATGTGGACTTTTACTTCTCAGTCGAGGAATATGATTCTTCATCTTATACAACCTTAAACAGTGATGACTATTGCAGTTGTTACCTCTTCCTCTGCTCTTCAATCATGCGACCCTTGGCACTCTGATATCTATCTTGGCCAGCAATCTCTCTTTCAATCATCTTTTGCTCTCTTTTCTTCTGAAGATCATCATCTTTTTGCAGCAGCTTAAGCAGTTTCTCCTTTTCCCTATGCTGTCTTCTCGATTTAACTTATTCTATCTTCTCGAGTTTCTCCTTTAATCCCTTGTCCTTCTTTAGAATCTGAGGATCTTGCTCTTTCAAGAGCTTACCAAGATGCTTCTTAAGGAATATAGCTACTTGCTCCTTAGATATGACAGTCTCAGCTTCTGAATCAGCATTCTCTCCGGCCTCAGCTTGAGTTTGCTTCTTAACCAGCGCCAGTATGTCTTTGAAGTTGAGTCTGTAAATGTGATAGTTCTTGATGAAATCATCAACTTCGATATTATGCAGATCTGCCTTTCCGTACTTCAATGTCTTTGGAATGATGATTTAGTAGCCTTGCTCCTCTTGCTAGATACTGACCTTGTCTCTTAAGAGTTCTTTCATTAATTGATACTTCTAGTTGTTTTTTTCCTTTTTAGATTATTTAACTATTTGCATTTTGTGAGCACTGAATAGACCTTCATCAAGACAATCCATGGGTTGCTACTTTCTAATCAATGAATTATACTGCTAAATGGCTTTAGCTTAATCAATCATTTTCTACTTCTGGTCTTTTCCTGTTTGTATTACAATTCTATATTTGCTTTTCCTTTTGCCTCTGACTCTTGAGGGAGATATGGGACTCTCAGACTCTCCATCTCTCTTGTCTGGTGAATCCTCCTCAATGACAAGTTCACCCTGCTTGTTGTTGTTTGCTTTTAGAATCTCATCTACTATTAATGATCGCTCCTCTTCATTCAAGAACCCATCATCTTCTTCAGACAATAGCTTCTCATTGTCCATTGAATCATCTAATAAAACTTCCTGTTTCATGCTTTCTATTCCTTCTAACACATCTATTATCTGATTTACTTCTTGCTTATGAATTTTTGGCTTCTTAGCCATAATGTTGACCCTGAAATTGCTCTTTTCCTTATCACCTGAGAAGATTTTACGCATAGCCTGCTAGAAGTTGTACGTATTTTACTTCAATTTTTCATCTTCAACTTTTATCATATCTTTAGGATCAGCCTCACCTCTAGGAAATCTTTATCTCTCATTTATAATTCTTGAAAGTATCTAGTGGCCGTTTGGAGTCGGCTCAATATTCATAAAGAGCTATTTAGGTTTGACGCTCTCCTACTATTTTAAATTAGACTCTGTCTTTGAATGCCTCAATTAAGATTTCTCTGTCATTAGTCTCTGACCACTAAAGTATTTTTGATATTGATTTACATTTGCATTAATTTAAGCACTATCTAAGGTTTATTACTACTCCTTCTGCTATATAATCTTTGCTAAAATTTCAGCTTTTTTGGGTACAGGGGAAAGTTTTGATTTGCACTCACTATGATGATTTTAAGGGGAAACTTGATTTCTCTGTTTTTCAGGACTTTAAATTTTAAGCTTATTTCCAGAGAGTTAAGCATTCATCTTATAACTGTTAATGTTAGACATACTATTCAAAAATTAGCTACTTGACTAATCTCTTATACTTGAGAATGTGTCTCTTGATAGAGTCTTTAGATGATTAGTACTTGGTAATGAGATTGTCTAATACTCATTACCTAAAAGATTTTCATTCTATTTGCTGCTATATGATTTTTACTAAAATATTGTCTTAGTTTTGGTTTGATTTTGCTGAGTTTGAGCTGGGATAGGATAGTTGTATTGACTATGTGGTAGTGGGTCTAGTACTAGTTTTTCATTTAGTAATTAGCTATTGTAGCTAACTAGATGATTCCTCCTTTAACTAGACAGATCAATTCTTAATCTTCTTGATTTTTATTCTGATTATTATTATTGTTAAGATTAAGCTGCTGCAGTGCATGGCTTAGTTGAGCTACTTTTCTAGTCTACTAACTAGCCAGATATATTATATTCAGTTTAAGACTTAACGAGAATTTTCCTTTAGCCAGCTTGAGTGAGGGGCTTTTATAATTCTTTTATTGGGATAACTTAAGCTTTCATTGGATTGATTGCAAGCCCATATTTCAAATTCTCCATTCTTGGATCTTCTTTGAATAGAGTCATTGTGTTAATCTAATGATGCTTCTGAATAATCTTATCATTAGCAGTATTATTAACTACGAATCTTGGAGGTATGGTACCACTGTCTTATTATTCTGCTGTCTAGGCTCTATCTTCATACTTATTAATTCTTTACTTTATTGAGAAGAGTTCATTAGAATACTCCTCCAATGTGATGCTAGGCAGAGCATAATGGACTGGATTGTTGAAATTGTTTGATAATTTCTTAGTCATAATATCTTTTATGACTTGCTATTCTTTTGGTAGATTATTTGAAACTTTATTTAGGTTGTTTTATACTAGCAATGAGCCTGCATTTTTCTACTTCTGACCATTATTCCCATTTAACGTCTTATCATATTCAGCTATATCTTTTTACATATTTATATTTGCTATCAATGTTTGGGACTGTTTTTATACTGTACTTAAAAAGTTTGAGAACTGAGAGCGTACGTGGTATACATTTGAATCTTCACCATTATCAACCTTTATGTCCTCTATGGGTTAATCGTTTTGATTGACTATATTCATAGGATCGATTACTGTATTAGATAGAGAAGATTAGAGACTGCTTTTAAATTACAAGTTTTTTAGGCCACTGGGTAAGAATGCACCATCAGATACCTGTTTGGACTGACGCTTGCTATTAAAATCTAGATTGCTAATCTTTGCAGTTGAACTATCTTAAGATTGTTATATTTGCTGTGTATTCTTTCTCTTGGTATTAGTATTTGTATTTGGCTTAGAAGCTGAATTAAGAAGATTTAGAGTATTTAATTTATAGTGCTTATTGAGCTTGTTCAGTTGCCTCATCTTCCTCTAGAAATCTTACTATTCTAGACATTCTCCGCCGCCCTAACTTCCATTAGCTATCGAATTCCCCCTCTACTTTTTTTATTTCTTATTGCTTTTTACTGACAGTTTATTATCATCTGGAATTAAGTTATTATTAAAGCTCTTCAAGTCATTCTTAATTATATGACTAATCTCATTAAGATACAAAAGCGATTTAATATTAAAATTACATCCCTCAGGATTAGAGATCTGATCTAATTCATGTTATATAACTGAATTGAATAAATTATGAGGGGTTTAAAGTTGTAAGTAATATCTCAGCAGCTCTGGTTCAAATCTAGTTTAGCCTTTAAATTAGGTCCTAAATAAGCTTTATTTATGAGCTTGAAAAGCATAAAATTAGTCATTTTTCTGTTCCTCTACTTATAGAGATTTTTTTACATATGAATTCTTCAACAATCTAAGCTAGATAGCACTTTGCCACTCCTCCTTAAGCTTCTTGTTAACTTCACTAAAGCTTTAAGCATCATTTAGATCAATCTTAAAAATAAAATTTTTTTCAAAAGCAATAATCTCATTTTTACCTAAATACATTAGCTTCTCAATATCATTATGAAATCTCATTACTTTCAAAGGCCTATCTTCTTCCATTGAAAATAATGTTAATACCCTATTTGATGACCAGGCTATAAAATGTCTTGCTGGCTATCCAGATACTGGGATACATACTTGGAGGATTGGATTTAAATGATAATTATGCAACTGCATCTCAGTTATCTTAATCTCCCCTTTAATTTATTATGTGTAAATAATTCCACTCTCATGTCCACATACTAGCACTTCATCTAATCTTAAATCAATAGCAGTAATATCAGGCCACATTAGTTAGCAGCTTTTCTACAAATTCATGTCTTTAAAAACTTCAAACACTCTTAAATGTCCTTCTTTCAAAATCACCAAAAGCTTTTGTTTTTCTGGAATAAATCGTGACTATAAAATACCTGTTTGCATGTTGATTTTATGCGATACTTTAATCTCATTATATTGAGCTGCTTCATTTTATATCACTAATATGAATCCATCATAGGTTAGAACTGCAATGAGGAAATCGAAATCAGGGTAGTCATCCATAAATCTATAGGGGTTATCTCTCCGAGTGATTTCATCTTCATTAACTATATCATTATTGAAAATTCATATAATTTACAAGTCTTGTTTTTAAGTTAATGGTAGACTGAAGTATTCTCATTCTGATTAACCATAATATGAATGTCTTTTATCTTTAATCTATCCTCGATATAAACATACTTTCTAGTGCGATAATGAGTATTAACTACGCAGCATAATCCTTGATTGTCAATAAATACTCCAATCCTGCTCTAGATATCATAGGTAAAATACTTCTAGTTAGCCGCACTCAAAAATGGTTCTCTCTTTGCTTTATGCTTTTCAGGCAATCCTGGAATTTCTACCATTTACTTTTGATTTCCACTTAGCAGTTCATTGAAATTAGCATGAAGCAATTACTTTGGTCTTGGTTCATAAATGTCAATCAAATTAATACTGTTGTATTCATCAATAAGCAGTAGTAGGTTCTTGTAGCTCTACTCTTTAATAATTATTTAGCAGGTAAGTGGCTTGAATATTTACTTTTAAGCATTCCTTCGCTCCATCAGCAGATCAATATTAGAGAAAAAGGTATAAACATCTATACCACAGTTTCCCTCTTTCAAAATATAAACAGTTTTAGTTCCATCAATATTAGGAATATAATGTGCTACAAAATGATGAACAACGTTTAAGTTTTCTCTGATGCTTTTTCTTGGTGTTCTCGGATTAGATCTTAAATCTTTGTACTAAAAGTCCTAAAAATCATCTTTAGTTCCAAATTTGTTCTTGCTCATAGGTGAGAATCCAGATTAAATCTCATCAATAGCCTGTGGAAATAAACATTAATGATTTTCTTACTTTAATTTTGATCGGTGACATGTTAATCAATTTATCTCTTTTATCATTTCTCATCAGCTATGTCGTAAAAGTCAATTACTATGAAAATCCTCCGTTTCTATATGAATTTGGAGCATGAATCAGTTTTTAAAACTTTTGAATCAGAGTTTCTACAATAGTTATTAATTTAATTTGTACTTACAGGCATGCATAGATATATCATAAATATTGTATTGTTTGTCAATAGCAATGAATCCAGATTTAGAATTACTAAGCCCTGGGTATAAAAAGTCTATAAAAGATTTCTAGCCGCATATTCTATCTAGATTTATGGAGTATATTTATTTTTCCAGTCCAATATCCCAGACTGTGAATTCATGGCTTTTCCTATTCATTATATAAACAAATTCTTATAAGCTCTTCAGATGATACATAGTTCTTGGCTACTATTCTGAAAGTTTATTAAAGTAGCCTTGTTCATGAGAGTATTTATTCTTGATTAATTCTACTTTAAAACAGGAAGAGTGAATGCTTGAAGTATACATATTCTAATTGGTTTACCCAGCATTATTATTAGTAAAAGATTGATTGCTATCTTAAGTATCCAGTCTGTATTCTAAAGTGTAAAGATTTTTTCCTTCCTTAAGAGTAAAGAAAGCAATATCGTTTGATTAAGAGGATGAACAAGCTAAGATATCACATATACCGTTTAGACAGAGCTAGTCTAGCTATACATTCAAATGGATATTTTTCTTGTTAGTAGTGAATACATGTAAATTGCTGTCTACATAGCTTACATTGACTGGTAATTCGTCAATTGGTGGCATAGGTCTCTCTTTGTAATAGATCATGTAGGTCCATACTCTAATTGATTTTAAGTCTTTGGTAAAAGTAATAATTTCCTCTGATTTAGATGAAACTATCATGTCAACAACACCATTTGAATCTGATATAGTATCTTTTGAAAAATTCAAGTTAGAATCTAAAAATAAAACCTGCTTATTATTCTTGATGATTGACCACTAATTGTATAGCAGTAAAGCGAATGGTTTCTAAAATTACTATGATTTGCCAATTTATGCTATTACAGCCGATCCTGGTTTGCTATTACTTGCTGAATTCGATACGTTAGCAGCAGCCTTTTAGTTCTTTTCATTCATCTGTGATGAAAGTCTCATCTCCCCAAAATTTTGTATTATTGGAGATTATTGAAAATTGTAGTTCAAAATCTATTTGAAAGTACGAACTGCTTTGAACTGATTTTAATCAATGTCAAAAATAGCTAATTCAGTATCAGTAACTAGAAATATTTCCTTTGTGAGAGAATTCAAGTCAAAACTTATGATATGCTTTGAGGTTACGCACGGAAGCTTACCTCCTGATATCTGACTCATCTGCATTTGTAGAGCATTTGGAAAAGAATTCTAGTAAATAATTTTTGTGAATTTATCATCATGCATCGCGTTATTTTAGAATAGATTTGTAGCATTCTTACTAGTCTTAGGACTTGCAGGCTTTTACCCCACACTTAAATGATTGGTCTGTGGAACTTTAAGTGATAACTTGTTGGGAACACTTAAGAAACTAAGTTTCTCTTGTTCTTATTTTTCAGGGACTTTCATTAATTATTCAAGTTTATATTATTTGATGTAAATTTGAGATATATATAATTATCATCTTCTTAAACCTTTGAAATCCATCTCATGGGGTTTTGGGGTTTTGGGGTTTTGGGG